TAATTATATTCATATCAATAAATATTCTACCGAGAAAAAGACGTTGTCACGTAAAATCTTCGCCCGTAAAAACGACTTTACAGGCAACCATTTTTCAAAACAAGTTGTAGGTAAAAGTTACCTAATATAATAAATACCTGGAAATTATAACAAGATATATACTAACTAAAAATCGCTGGTTACATAGTACGTAGTAGGCTGCACGAAATCGCCGCGACCGCGCACGCTGCTCATGAGGAAGAACCCCTCTGTGGTTCGAAACTAGTAGAGCTTTTCTCAGCTTATATTCACGTGAGTAACCCGCGATTTTTAGTTAATAAATTAATATAGTATATCTGACGATAATTATTATAAGATATATGTTTACATACCTAGAAAAGTGGAGGTAAAGGCAAAAAACGGGTGATTCCAGAGAGACTGTGTGAGGGAGACAACTGGTGTGAGCGGGTCCATCAACCAATGGTAAGCCGCTATTGCTGTGCACACTGACACCACTGTCAGTAAAACTGAAACCAAAAGAAAATTAATAATTAGCTACCTATACTATTCTAGCTACATCCGCAAGGTGTTACCCTCTCTGCTCTGCTTCTTTTGATAGTAGTGTGATGTTTTAAACCCCATAACTAAAATGAATTTAACTACTTGCTAACTTAAAATTAATTGAATTATATAGCTTTCTCACATGAACTATTCCAAAAAATCTCTACTAGTATGTACATGTACCACATTGGTTAATAGATAAAAAATATTTCCTTATAGAAATGATTTCTTGTCCATAATTATATTTTCTAATTTCTTTTAAAACATTATAATAATTACAATTTTAGGTTGGCTCCTATCCTTCTATACTTAAGAATTGCTGAGTAATCCAATAAGAATCTAAATAGATTACTCCAAGTCTAATAATAGCAGCTAAAAGCAAAAACACAGGAAAACAACATTCATCAAGATATGCACAAATATTCAATATTATGATATTATGATGCACCATTGTCTATTCTGTTAAAGAATTCTTATAATAGGAACTATATTCTTTACAATTTACTTAAGAATTAGACAAACATGAAATAATTTAGTTATGATTATTAACAACTTAACAATAATCCTTAGTGTTAATATGTTTGAACATAACAACCAAAAGATTTTAGTTAGAGAGTAAGGAGTTGAAACTTCACATACTTCTCCATCTCATAGTAGCTGGCTGCAGACATCCTATAACTTCAGTCAGGCGTCGCTCGAAAGCCTTTAGATCTGAAACCACACAACATATTTTGTTACAATTGAAATAACTAACAGTTTGAAGGTTACGTTATAAATCGAAATACAACAATATATTAATGTAAGGTTATTAAAAAAACATTCACAATAAATTATACTACTTCACAATATTAATTCCGGCGCCAATAAAAATAAATCCAGTGTATCAACGAACACTTACCATCGCAAGCTGTTTGTTCTAACGACATTTTGTTTTCTTTCGTACAAACAATTAACATCAATCTTAACTATACTATACTACATATTGAGCAATTATCTATCGATTATTTAAATAATTTCAGTATAAATCTAATCTAAAACCTAGAAGTCACTTTAATCTGTAATTTACCCTTATTTTGACAATAAATGACAGCTGAAGCCGACTGACTTCGACACTTGACAGAAAACTGCTATGTTGACACTGTCAGATTTCCAAAACTGTCAGTTATGTGACACATTGACATTAAAAAACCACGTTCATTGAAGTACATATTTATTTGTTTCTTATTTTTCTCATTTTTTTCCAATAGATTCCCCTGCTGGCGCTCTCCATTAGATAAATGTCCTAATAGGATCATACCTTATATGCCGCGAAGAGGCCAGCACAAGCCCTTTTTGGAGACTCATTACATAACGATAGGTGCCTATAACAAGCCCACAACGAAATCGCGACTTCTGGATCATTAGGAACAGCTAATGATCAGGGATAGAGATTTTGCCAAGATGCGAAACTCTATAGGTATCACTGTTATATGAGCATTAGGTAGGTAATGTCGCCCACCAGCCCGGAGGTATAATTAAGACTCCCGCTTCTCATGCATGGGGGTGCGGGTTCGAAACATACCAACGGCAAGTACCAATGTGACTTTTTCCGAGTTATACTTACTTTCTAAGATTATCCATAGAGAAGAGACGGTGAAGGAAAACATCGTGAGGAAACCTGGGCTTATAATTTCTAATTATAAGTTTATAATCGTTAACCCGCATTGAGCAAGCGTGGTGATTAACCCATTAGAAGTCACTGTACTCATATGAGTACACCTAAAATTCTACACATAAACTTAATATTTCTTATATTTTTGTAGAGTAACCCTATTATCTTAATTCATTATAAAATTGTCTAACTATATTGATAAATTATATGAGGGTAGTGCGATATTTTTTTCACATTATTTACGTTGCCCGCCAATCTACTTCAAAATCAAACCCTACGTGGCGGAAATGTGCAATCCTGCAAAATGGAGTTGGAC